GCATCTTGAGAACAATGTGTGATTTAAGTTTGAGGTGGGAAAGTAAAATATTTAGATTTTTAATTTTTAAGTATACTAAATTTTTTCATTCTTTTTAAGTTTATATTCATATATTATTTTAAACGTTAGAACAAATGAACATGGTGGAGATGAACCCCACGGTAGAGTATTTTCTATTTATTGTTGTTTAGGCACTAATTCATGAGTTATCCTTTGACAATTAGCACATTCACACCAACATGATTTTTGGGGGTGAGATTGAAGCACTTGCTTTCATTTGAGTTCATTTTTTTTTTTTTTTTTTTGTTCTAAAAAAAAGAAAGTAAAGTTTAGTTATTGTTATAAATAAAGTAATAATTGTTCTACCAGGACTTTGCTAACTATAACTAAGAATATGGTGAAATATATGGCATAATATGGACTCATCATTCAACATTGAATTATTCCACAAACAATTGGAATTCTATGCCATTGTTCAAGCATTGCAGTATTGGAGGCACTATCTGATCTACAAAGAGTTTGTTATGTTCTCCGATCATGACTCTTTAAAGCATATAAACAATCAGGAAAAATTGCCAACGAGGCATGCTAAGTGGGCAGCATAGTTGCAAGAATTTACATTCGTCTTAAAGCACAAAGCCGGTGTGCAAAATCAGGTTGCAGGTGCTTTGAGTCGGAGGAAGTGTTTACTTGGCTCGATGAGAATTCAAGTATTGGGGTTTGACTTTTTGAAGGATTTATTGAAAACTAATCCTTTCTTCTCTACATTTGTTGAAGATGTTAAGCATGGAACTATAACATAATATGTGTTGCATGATGGGTTTCTTTTTAAAGGGAACCAACTTTGCATAACAGAGTCTAGTTTAAGATTGAGGATCATACAAGAGTTACATAATGAAGGCCACGTTGGAAGGGACAAGACCCTGAGCTTATTTCTTTCTCTTATTTCTGGCCTACCATGCGCAAATATGTATATCGTTTTGTAGAACGATGTCGAATTTTTGTTTTAGGTTAGCCTTGTACTCAGTGTGGTGTAGTCTCAATTTTTGTTGTGATGGATCGATTTTCCAAGATGGCTCACTTTATTGTCTGCAAGAAGACAATGGATGCTTCGAAAGTTGCTGAGTTATTCTTTCATGATGTATATCAAATTCATGAGTTACCAAGATCGATTGTTTCTGATCAGAACACGAAATTTTTGAGTCATTTTTTGAGGAGCCTGCAGAAATTAGCTAATACACAATTGAATTTTAGCAACGCCTCATCCTCAACCTGATGGGCAAACTGAAGTTGTGAATCGCTAATTAGGGGACCTTTTGCTTTGCTTAGTTGGTTAGCATCTAAAGTCATTGGACCATAAGTTATGTATTGTGGAGTTCGCCTACTATTGTTCAGTCAATTGTAGCACCGGAATGTATCATTTCTACACTGTCTTTGGCTTAATTTCACTAGCACCAGTTGATCTTGCTCCTGTACCAAACACGAAAAGAATTAGTGGCAAAGATGAAAGTTTCATTGATAATGTCAAGCAGATCGATAGCATGACGCACAAGCACCTTCAAGAAACAAGTCAGAAATACAAAGCTCATGCAGATTCCAAAAGGCGAATGGTGGAGTTTGATGTGGGAGAATTTCTTTGGGCAGTTTTGACGAATGATCGTTTTTCAGCTGGAGATTCCAATAAACTGTTTGCAAGGAAGATTGGGCCATATGAAATTCTTGAAAAGATTAACCTCAATGCTTATCACCTAAAGTTGCCTAGCCATATTCATACTTCTAATGTGTTCAATGTGAAACATCTCATTCCATTCAAAGTGGACAACGAAGATACTAGAGAGGCAAATTCGAAGGCGAATTTTCTCCAACCCAGAGCGGATGATGCATATATGATGGCTAGTTCATTTATGGATCGTTGGGATAAATTGAATGCTTAACTTTATTTAGTACTACTTAATAAACTCAATAACAACTTAGGGCATTTTTTTGGCTGATCATAACAGCCATGACGTTTTTATTGCTGATAATAGTCTTTCTTTATGTAATTTTCAATTTTCAATGCTATTAAGTTTATTGCCCTTTTAAATTCTGAATGTAAGTTACAAGTTGGTGATAAAACCTACTTCTTGCTGGATGGTGGGGATGTTAGACCTTTTTTGAATGAATGAAATATGCAAAGAGATTTCTTTCTTAGTTTGTGCCTTTTTGTTTGTGAGATTGTTCAACTTTGTTCTTCTGGTTGTCTATGTTGTAGGTTGGTACTAGAGATGGGGTTTTGGGGTTTTCAGGACTCTCCTTGCACTAGGAAATAATGGACTCTGCATATCAATTTTTCTTTTCATTTTATTTTGTTTTTAGTTGTTGCACCTTGCATCAGTTTGATATTTTGAAAAAATATTTCTAATTTGAAATCCAAACTGCTAAAACTATTTAGATGGCAATTTCCAACTCTAATTTGTGTTGGATTTATCCAATATAAATCAACCTTTAAGTGGTCTACTACATGTAATAGAAATGTAATATTGGAGAATAATGTTGATTGTGATTTGATCTCTTAAAGATATCAATCCTATATAAGGTGTCTTATATTGGAAATAGGATTGATGGAATCCTTAATTGAATATGATTATGATACTTGACTTGGAGGCTAAGAAAGTAAGTTTAGGTTTCCTTTATGGATGGAAACCCTAACTTTTAGCCTATATAAAAACACCGGTCCCTATAAGCCTTAGAACACACAACATAATGCTTCCCATGGAGTAGTTGTATTATGCTAGCAGTTTGTAGAAGACATTGGTGTTGCTGTGCCCTTTCTCCTTCCTTACTCGAGTACCATGGTTACAACTAGAATCAGATTTGTCACTCATACGTTTGTGTTTTAATTGTATAACCTTATAAAGCTAACAGTTTGACCATCGCAAAGTCTAGTAGCACACACTTTTTCCAACTTAACTTGTAAGCTAAGCAAGAAAATAGAATCAAAACAATGTAGTCGCTATCTTTCAACACTTATTTCAAGTTGGTACGCTAGTAATCTATATATAAAGCCAACACAAAAGTGAATAGTGTTTTTGGTATTTCTAATAATATAGCTCGATAATAATTCATTTCTTTTAAAGCATACCTTGACCATTCAAGACTTATGTGGGTGTCTAATATAATTGAAGTGCAACAGTATTTTTTTGAAATGTTACATTATCAGAAGACACCCAAAAAAAAACATTTCATGTGAATCCTGACCAAAATGAAAACGCAGCTTTGTACAATAGCCATTTTTGTCTCCACCTTAAGATGCAACTTTCCAAATCATTACGATGCCATAGTACAACTTTACAAATTATTGCAATGTGCAACTTTTCCAAATGTGGTCGACTTTTGTAGGCTAGCTGGAGGCCAGCCACGAAAAGGGCCTTTCATTCATAATCAGATCTATTTTGGATTTTTATGTTTGGAACTTTCGGATCGAGAAATTGGAACCGTTGAAGAGAATCATTTAAATCATTGAGTAATAATTGATGAATGCCAGCTATATCTACCAGTCTACCACGGCACTGTCCAATGCTAGAGACAATCAAGTGTTGATGCACAAAAGCTGATCCCCTTAACGTTGGATTTCCTTTAAGAAATCTTACAAATGTATAAAAGTACTACTAAATTATACACTAATGGTATCAAGTGACCGTAATTATGACTTAAAACCTTTATCTTCTCTTATAACTTAGAGTGGCGGAGCTTTTTTTATTTATTTTTTCTTTTCTCTACTGGCGTGGTAAAGTTTGCATTACTTGTTTTTTGGATAATGTTAGTAAAATAAAATTTGTAAATAAAATTTTGTAAACTAAATGATATGAAAGTTGATAATTAAATTATGACTTAAGCTTTGATAAACGTGATGATTCTTACTAATGACACATTATTTAGTTTGTAAATTTTATCTACAAATTTAATCTTCTTAACATTACCCGTAATCTTTTGTGTATATCCTCAATCCTATCACGAGACGCAAACACGACCAATCCGGAAGGAGAGGAGTCGGAAGACCTACACTATTTGTTGGCATAAATAAATGACACAACACTACACCAAAATTAGCAATTGTCATTGTACAAAACCAAAGATAAATATATATATATATATATATATATATTTTTTGCATACTATCGATGAACAAGAATGAGCAATGTTTGATGTATCCGGACATGATTATGGTTATTATTTTACAATATAAAACGTAAATTTGTTATTTTATTAATATACCCAAAAAGTGACATACGTCAATATTGTCGCTTAACTTTATTATAATACGTAGAATAATACACCATATAACTTGTATTTTTGATATCCATAAAATTTTCTCAGCAAGAACACATTCATCAAGCAAGTCACCATGTCCTATAAATATAAAAATAAAAAATCAAGCAAGTCACTGTGTCATATTGTTTATAATCAAAGAGAAAATTTCACACAAAACCAATATCTCTCTTCTTTTTCTTCATTTGTTTTAAGTTAAAGAATGAATATGTCATTTTACAATCTAGAGACATTTCTCTTCACTTGAAGTGAGAGGTCTTATATTCAATTTTCACCAAAGGTGAATTTAAAACCACATTATTGATAGCACATTGTGAGGCTTAGCCCACTCTCCACCCCTTAGTGTAGATAATATCGTTCGTTAAAAAAAAATTAAAGAAAAATGAATACAATAATTTTCAAAATAGTGAAATATTCCTAATATTAGTTCACAGAATTAGATGTAAATTGAATTTATTCATAAAATTAAGTTAAAAAGTAAAGAGAGATATTGTTTTTGTCAGGTCAATGCAAACTATCCCTCATCGACTACGATGTCGGTGGCTGTAGATCCACTGCATGGGTACAGAGCATTCTGGTTATGATTACAAATTGGATTCTGCTAAAGCTGCTAGACAAACCATCAGTCCTGCTATACTCTTTTATAAATTGAGTTTTAACTTCTGCACAAAACAAATATCATCATGATGGGGATGGGGTTTTACAACTCCATTTCTGCAGTGTTTTTGTCATCCTTTTTTATGCATGCTTTCATTCTTCACTCTTGCCTTCCCAGTTTCGCCCTTCCGGGAAATGAGACAGATAGACTCGCTTTGCTTGAAATCAAGGCTAGCATAACTCATGACCCTTTTAAAGTCCTGACTTCATGGAATGAAACCATCCACTTTTGCTCTTGGCATGGCGTTACATGTGGTCGTCGTCATAAGAGGGTCACAAGCTTGAGCCTGCCGTCCTTGAAACTTGCAGGATCTATACCGCCACATGTTGGGAACTTGAGTTTTTTGAGAGTCATTGATCTCGGAGCAAACAACTTAGGCCATGAAATTCCTCCAGAATTCAGCCGCCTGCACAGATTGAAATTCCTGTGGTTAAACAACAATTCGCTGAGTGGAGAAATTCCCACTAACTTGTCGCGTTGCTCTGAGCTCCTCGGGCTAGATGGTGGTTTCAATGTGCTGATGGGAAAGATTCCAAAGGAGCTTGGCCTCTTGTCAAAGTTAAGAGTTTTTTCCATCCACTTTAACCACTTTACAGGAGGAGTCCCTACTTCTTTTAGCAACTTATCATCTTTTGAAGTGTTCTCCGCAACTTCTAATAATTTGAGTGGCACTGTCCCGGATATTTTTGGCCGAATGACCAATCTTAGCTTTCTTGCCTTCGATGTAAATAGCTTTTCGGGTATGCTTCCTCCCTCAATCTTTAATCTCTCTTCTCTCACAGTCCTTACTATGGGAATAAATGAAATCCAAGGGACGCTGCCCTCAAACTTTGGTATGGTCATTCCGAGTCTCCAAATATTTTCCATTAACGGCAACCAATTCAGTGGATCTATTCCTGTTTCATTATCAAATGAGTCAAATCTAATTGGGTTGGGGATGGGAGGTAACCACCTGCATGGAAAGGTCCCTCCTTTGACGAATTTGCATAAGCTTAAGCGGTTAGTCCTTGCTGACAACCATCTCGGAAGTGGGGGGATTGATGACTTGACCTTTCTCTGCGATTTGAGCAATGCCACCCATTTAGAAATTCTCCAAATGTTTACTAACAATTTTGGGGGCACGTTACCTCAATGCATAGGAAACCTGTCTTTCTTCTCTTCAAACCTTCCTTCTAGGTCAAAATAAAATATTAGGAAGCATCCCGAATGAGATTGCAAATCTGGCTAACTTGGATGTTTTGGCGATGTCTAAGAACCAATTATCAGGTCACGTTCCCCCTCGTGTAGGAAAGCTGCGCAAGTTATATCACTTAGATTTGAGTATGAACTCTCTTTGTGGCAATCTTCCATCCTCTTTGGGAAATTTAAGTCAACTAAATGAGTTATACTTAAACGGCAACAAACTTCAAGGCAACATCCTGCCGTGTTTAATTGTGTGTCAGAATTTGAGGATCTTATCTCTTGGTGCTAACAATTTTAGCGGTATCATATCACGAGAAATCGTTGGTCTGTTGAACTTGTATATATTGAGTTTACCTCAAAATCACTTTATAGGTTCCCTGCCAGAGAACATAGGAATTTTAATAAATCTAGAGTATTTAGATATCTCTGATAACATGTTATTCGGTAAAATTCCCACAAGTCTTGTTAGTTGTATAAAATTAGAGTACCTAGACATGCATGGAAATTTCTTCAATGGGACGATTCCATCAACTTTCAGTTCACTAAGAGGTCTTACAGAATTGTCTCTCTCTCACAACAACTTGTCTGGCACAATTCCAGAATTCTTAGAACGTTTTGTATTTTTGGAATCTCTCAATCTATCTTATAACAATTTTGAGGGCATGTTGCCGATGAAAGGAGCGTTCAAGAATGCAACGGCGACATCAGTTGAAGGAAATAGCAAGCTTTGTGGGGGCATACCTGAGTTTCATTTGCCAAAGTGCAAACTCCAGCATGCAAAAAAGAAAGGATTGAGCTTAACCATGAAATTGGTTCTCTCCCTCGTTTGTGGGATTCTTGGAGTCATTTTTGCACTAACCTTTTTGTACCTTTATTGCTCACGGAGGGACAAAAAGGGTCAAGCCGCAAGTGATTCGGACAAATTTCCCCAGGTGTCTTACCAAAGTCTTCTAAAGGCTACAAATGGATTCTCCTCAACCAACTTGGTCGGTATGGGCAGTTTTGGGTCCGTTTATAAAGGAATACTTGAGCAAGGTGAAACTACAGTTGCCATCAAGGTACTCAACCTCGTTCGTCGCGGAGCTTACAAAAGTTTTATTGCTGAGTGCAAGGCTTTCAAAAATATTAGACACCGTAATCTTGTCAAGGTACTCTTAGCATGTTCTGGTTTTGATTATCGCGGTCATGACTTCAAGGCCTTAATTTATGAGTTCATGGTTAACGGGAGCTTGGAGGAATGGCTGTATCCAATTCATGCAATTGGTGAGACAAATGAGAGACCAAGGATCTTAACAATTTCTCAGAGGTTGAATATTGTTATTGATGTTGCTATGGCATTGGATTATCTCCATCATCATTGTGAGACGCCAATAGTTCATTGCGACCTCAAACCCAGCAATATTCTTCTCAATGAGGACATGGTTGCACATGTAGGTGACTTCGGGTTGGTGAGGTTCCTACCAAAAGCTGCTGAAAATTCTTCGGGAAATCAATCAAGTTCTTTAGGGATAAAGGGAACTATTGGTTATGCTCCTCCAGGTAAATACACTTGGTAGTTTATTTTTTCCTAGCTAGTCTTTTAAAATTGGGAAGCATTTATTTTAAATTTTTCAAACATGAAATGAGCTTTTAGCACTTCACTAGAAAATTAGAATCTAATGTTCTGAATTGTGGAATGCAGAATATGGCATGGGACATGAAGTGTGGACACAAGGTGATGTGTACAGCTTTGGCATCCTCCTATTGGAAATATTTACAGGAAAAAGACCGATCGATGACATCTTTCAGGGAACTTCAAACCTCTATAGCTTTGTGAAGGCAGCTCTGCCTGAGCAAGTGGAAGAGGTTTTGGATCCCGTTCTTGTTCAAGAGAGCAATCATCCTAATGCGGGGAGGGCAAGGAATCGCGTCCTAATCATAGAAAGTTTAATCTCTGTTTTAGAAATTGGTGTTGCTTGCTCAGCGGAGTTACCTAGAGAAAGATGGAACATCTGTGATGCTGTGGCACATATGTGTCGGATCAGAAACAAACTTCGAGCAAATGGTATATGTGAATAGAAGCTTATTGTTAATATGTGGTATAGTATGTAATAGTATTGATGTTATGCGAAAGCGTTATTGTATTTGTTGATCAATGCTTGCCAAGCAAACTATTTGCATCGAATTATGCTTGAACAATGACATTCTAGCTTTGCCAAACATTACAGGACGAACACTCTAAAAGAATTAAAAATTAAAATTAAAAAACAAAGTTGTGGAAAGTATTCATCAAATTTCAAACCTATGTTGAGAGGTTTATCCCCGGTTGCAAATGTTCCATAGTAGTTTATTGCTTTTTTTTTTTTTTTTTTTTCAAAAAACCTAGACAGTACGAGGGAAACTTTATTAATGACAAAAAATAAATTACACCTAATCAAGGAAACATAAACCTAACTCCTTGTAATACAAGAAAAAAGAATAAAAAATACATGAAAAAGAAGGGGGACATAATCCTACTCTTCTATAAATGAAACAATAAAGATACAAAAATATGCATTCATCAACATTTATCCGAGCATTCATCATCTACACGAATGCAAAAAAGAATTTGAGGCTGAGTTCAGTAATACTTACAGTGGGGATTGCGGAGAAGATCCCTGTGTTGTTTGGAAATCCCCTTCGCTCGCTCACTCTCATATTTCATTAAAATACCGTTTCACATATAATTAAGTTTGGGGGTGGTCCTAGAGCAAAGAGATCCTTTGCGGATCCCTTCCTCCTAGTCCATCAAATCAGGTAATCTGTGTCATTGAAATTTAATCCAACGGTTACAAGTAGGGGCCCACTTTAAAAGTTATAATAACTTCAACTGTTTGATCAAATTTCAATGGTATAGATACCTTGATTTAGTGGATTAGAAAGAAGGGATCTGCATAGCATCCCATTCCGGTCCAGGCAACACAGAGGTGGACATTCATCAAATCCATGCCACAGATCTAGTATTTTTGCTCAATATATGTCACATGGAGGCATGCAAGCACACAGAAAATTACATGAGCATTGACGAAATTTTGGGTCCCTGAATGCATGACAGAAACATTTCATAAATCCGTATGGCTTTCAGAGATATTAAACCATGCTTAATTTTAACGCAGTGGAGGGATTTGATTTACCTTTCATTTTGTAGATCCGAGTTCTTGCAGCCATCTTTGCTGTGTGTACAGCAGCTCCATGTGTGAGCCATTGCTCCTTGCAGTTCCAATTCTCCTTGCAGTTCAATAAACATACATGCATGAGTCAAAGATCGCCGTGGCTGGGTTCCGTTTTTGAGAGATGGAGATGGATTCATGTTTTGACGTTCTGGATTGAAGATAGAAGCTAGGGTTTCAGTTTCATGAGAAATGAAGAGAGAGAGGAAATGAAGGGGATAGCTTACACGGCTCTGGGCTCGTGGGTAGTCAGAGAGAGAGGTTCCCAAACGGCGCTAGTTAGGACAGATGAGGAAATGGGCCTCTGGTTCATGCTCCCTGTCACGGGTTCAACTCTCCAGAGCAATGAAATTTTGCTTCTTTTCCTAATATTTTCCAGCGCCTCTGTTTCACCAGGTCACTACTTCGAATCCCCGGTGTGTCAGTTTCCTTGTCTTTTCTTTTATTTCTGTTTCTGTTTCTGTTTCCTTTGTTATTTTATACTTTCTTTTATTTTCTATTTCTATTTTGCTAGTTTATTTTCTTTGTCTTTGTTAGCTATTTTTCCGTTTTTTCAGGTTTTAATATTGTTGTTTTCTTTCTTTATTTTTTCTGCACCTTAAGAACAATGTGTGATTTAAGTTTGGGGTGGGAAAGTAAAATTTTTAGATTTTTAATTTTAAAGTATGCTAAAATTTTTCATTCTTTTTAAGTTAATATTCATAGATTATTTTAAACATTAGAATAAATGGACATGGTGGAGATAAATCCCACAGTAGAGTCTTTTTCTATTTATTGTTGTTTAGGCACTAATTCATGAGTTATCCTTTCACAATTAGCACATTCACACCAACATGATTTGTGGGGTTAAGATTGAAGCACTTGCTTTTCGTCTGAGTTAATTTTTTTTTTTTTTTTGTTCTTTTTTAGAGTAAAGTTTAGTTATTGTTATAAATAAAGTAATAATTGTTTCACCCGAGACTTTGCTTAGTAACCGGGCCAGTCCTGCCTGATCAGCAATGATTCTCGCGTCAAACAGTAGAGTCTTGGCATAAGGCAAGGTGGTTAGTTGCTTTTGTAGCATTTTCAGCTCGAGTTAGTGAGTCCTTAGGGGTGTTCTACACCTAGTGCCCTAAATCCCTTGTGGTTTGGGAATCAATGACCTAAAACACATTACATTGGTTGGATCGAAAGCTTAAGTGAACTAGCATTTCACAACCACTACTATAACTATAAAAAAAAAATTGAAAAACAGAAAAGAAGAAAAAAAAAATGTTATGTTTGAAGTTAGTAAGTATTAAATAAAAAGGACGAGTGGTAAGGGTTTCAATCGAGTCTCTTTAACCATGTTGGTTCACTTTACACCAAAGGAAGTTCATGAGTTCTTTTCTAATTAATTCTAAATGGCTTAGACTCTGTGGTGGTACTGGTTCGAATTTTTCAAAGATGTTCTAATTTTAACATTTTCTATGGATTGCAACTTGAAGGTGAAAATTGTGTTAGTTAAGTTTTGTTAAAGTTTGTTTTTTGTTTGTTAGTTTTTTGTTTTTGTTTTTGAGTTTTGTTTTGCTTGAGGACAAGCAAAAAGCTAAGTTTGGGGGTATTTGATGAGTCCATATTATACCATATATTTTACTCTATTCTTAGTCATAGTTTATTGGTTATTTTGGTAGAATTTTGATACTTTGTTATTTATTTTCAATGTAGGGCATGCAACTTCCTCTTAAGCAAAAAATGATCAAACGAATGAATTTTAGAATGATTCTAATTGACGGATGTTCGTGAGTCTTTCAAGATGGTTGTATTAAAATTCCAAATTTTTCTACCAAGCCGTTTGACCGTAGCGAAGAAAACAAGGCCCAACATGCAGCTTTTCCAGATTGATGTTTTTGAACGTTTTGGGTATTTTGGAGGTCAAGATGGAATATTTTGAGGAAGAATCATTCTGGGGATTTGATGGGGACGATTTAAGCTTTCAAAAGAGACCTTTTGGGAGCAAATCAGAGTTGATTTGGTCGGTTAAAAGTCTGGTTTTGTGAGAAGTCCGAATTTCAGTTCAAATAGGAAACCTTTTATTTGCTAATTTATTATTTTTATTATGTTTCATAGTTTTATTCTAAGACATTTTCTAGGTAGGCTTTTATTTTGTAGTAGTATAAATGAGGGAGCTTTAATGAAAATGGCTTGGACTAAGACTATTTTAATAAAAAAACCAATCTATAGTTTTATTTAATCAAAAGCATCTCAAAATTAACCATAAGGACATGCCTCCAAATTCTACACGAACGGAATTACAAAGTCCAAAATGTTCAAAATTAGGTTCCAAAATTACCCCTAACACAAAGAATATGCAGCCCGTTACAAACTTCAATATAATTGCAACCCTACCACCCACGTTGGCATGATCTCACCGACTGAGATTATATAACTTTTGGCGGTGAATCAATGATACGGATTTCAATTAATTTTGAACAATCATTGTTGCCCCAAGATTTCCCTATCTTTTGCAAAAATTGGTTTAGTATAACACACACACACACACACACTACTGCCGTCTGCTGCCTGGTGCAGGCATATTGTACATAAGTTGTTTAAGCCAAAAAACAGAGGAAGTGATTTTTTTTTTTTTTTAAGAACCAGTTAGTAACTTCATCACGACAATCTAGTATTTTGGGATAAGAAAAACTAACAAAGGCATTTTAGTCTCTCCTGCCCATGATCGTCTCTGCCATTTTAGAGGTCTTGTACAAATTTAATAAAAAGACCCACCTTATTAAAAAAAAAAAAAATTGAACAATATATTCATAAAGCTCAACAATCAATAATAGAGAATAATTGAAATCCGTATCAAGGTAAAAAGTCGTAAATTATGCATATCGTGTATGGCCTGATGCATGTCGACTAATGGGTGATTTATTATTTACAACTGGCCCCTCATTTTTGTTTTTTCGACCCTAATATATCAATTATGATTTTGACCACCGTAATTTGCAATTGGGAACTGGGGAGGCATCTATGTATAAGTTATAAGTAAAGTTACGGTCATCTTTATAGCATCATCCTCGAACTCGTACAGTTAATTTTGAATTTATTACATATTGTTGTTTGTTTTGGACCTTGCCTCATAAGATTCAAAGATATACAGGGACTAAGCTGAGATTTTATATCAAATTTATTTATTTTTTAATTTTTTTTGCGATTATTTCATAAATAGTGAGTAATTTTCTAGTAGTTCTAGAAATATAGTGTGTTATTTTAGTTTAATTTTAAAAATAGTGTGAGTTACTTTGGTATATTTCTAGAAATAGTATGTGCTAGAAAATATGCCCGTGCACAGTTGTGTAGCCAGGATTTTCAAATAACGGGGTCATAATATCAACCAAAAAGCTTCATTGGGTCATTTCGTCGAGCATCTAACAGACACCTGCGAATTCTTGCCAACACATGCCAAAATTTTATATCAACATATGTCGACAACTACTATTACTTGTACAGGCTTGTCGAGGGTGGATGTAAGATACCGTGGAGTAATGTTGAAGACTTTCAATGCTTTTCAACTAAATGATTTCATACAAGAAGATAGAAAAAGAAGACAAATATGATAGAAGAAAATAGAAGAAGTGGGACGAGGAGGTCGTAATTTAGTTTGCCTTAGTTGTTTGTTGGGGTCAAATACAATATACAAGCAAATATACATAGAGTTTTTTAAGTTATTGGGGTCAATGACAACCAATGACCCCGTGCTGGCTCTGCCACTGCCCGCGTGTTGCTGCCGGACTTTAATGCACCAGCCTTGACTACATGAATAAGACACATTTAAGCTGAAAAAAAAAATCAACATAATCATGAACGAATAAAAAGAATAGATCTAGGAAATTATAAAAAGCATTGTAATCGTGGATCCAGGAAATTATAAAAATCCACCCAGCCAAGAGACAATATAATAGTTGTGGGAAGGTGAGTATGCAACTAAGAATCTAAGATATACTTGATTTGCAATTCCATTATAATTTCAAACAAAAAAAGATCAAATTTTGATTGAAACATCAAACAAAACAATCTCATCTATTACAAATTGGACCAACTAAATAAAGAATCTATCAATATGATTTTCAACCTAACTATAAAAAAGAGCTTTATAATAGCGCAATCAACATTATTTGAACTCAACTAAAAAGAAACTAATTGCATGTTATAAATTCCATGGGTAATCTGATTTTGCAGATTAAAAAGAGTCCAAGAATATTGAAAATTACTAAACCCCATCACAACAAACCCATACCCATACCTCCCCTCCGTTCCCTTCAACCCCCCTGTAGAAAATCCTCCCATCTCTCTCACCCTTGTCCCATTTGTCTATCTCTGCAAATCGCAGAAAACAAACCCTAAACCAAATCCCTAATATCCCTCGCCTAAATCCCCCCACATCTCTCTTGGACACCCCCTATCTCTGACTCTGCAAACCCTAAATCAAATCTCCTAATCTTATCTTGGACCCCCCATCTCTGCCAATTGCATAAACAAAAGCCCAAACCTAATCATTCAAATCCCACCAAAACCTAATCCTTGAAACCCCACCCAAACCTAATCCCTAAAACCCCTTGCCTCAAACACCCAACACCTCTCTCTCTCAAATAGCCCTAAACAAAGTGCCTCGTAGCATCGAATCGACCTGCACCACCCTCGGGCGAGATCGAGAGCGGCATAATAAGTTATTTGTCAGAGAGCTCCGAAACAGAAAAGTAAAAATGATAGGTAAAGCAAACAACACAGTGGAAAGAGAGAACCCAGTGATGATCGGTTCTACCTTTCATATTTCCATTTTAATGTACCAACAAGGAAATGATAGTATATTTTATAGAGAAATAATAATATTGTTTTCATTGAATTAATATGATTGCAAATGTAATAGCTACATACAGTGAGGTAGGAGAAATGATGGAAGACGCACTGAAATTTGAGGTCCATAGGTTGAGAATAGTCCATAGCATTGATCCATATATGGATATATTGCATAGACCTACAATTCAATCTCCGAACAAAGTATCATTTATCAGCAGTTGTGACATTCATTATTCCTAAAAAAGTTATTGATTCACAAATAAACAAATGAAAGTAATCGGAAAAGAAATGGTTACCACATGTTGTCTAAATCTGAACTCAAAATGACCATGATATTTTCCCGGCGATGATTACAGAGAGACCGCTGCCTGAGACTTCTGTCTGTCCCCTGAAAACAATGTCTTGAACTTATTTATTGGATAAATGTGTGTGTACCCAAGAACTACACTGAAACAATCACAAAGATTCAAACTTCCACAGTAAAAATGATCTGTAACTAATAAAAAAAATAATCGACTGGAAATCACATATAAACCCAAATGAAATCTGAACCCCCCCAAGCAAAACCAAAAAACACCCTAAATAGACAATTAAACATAACCAAATGGGGGTTCAAATAAATTTTTTGTTATTGTTTCTCTCTTTCATGCAAGCTTACATCAGTAAAGGAAGCCAGATATTTTAACCTTTAACCTTTTACCTTGGGTCTGAGATCCTCAAGTCGTGCATTCTCCAAACGGTTGTAGAAAGCAAAAAGCATTGTTTCCTAGAAAAGCACCAATATTCAGACATTTGCACAACTAATGGTGCACTAATTGAGCTCCCAACCTCTAAGGATGCTAGCTTCATCATATAGCACTACAGTTAAGCACATTTCTTTCCGAAATTAAATTAAGAACAAATTTGACATTCACATGCCACAACAATTACACTGTTCCATGAAGTAATCTTACTATCACAGCCAAATTGACAAAAAACATGTAACAATCCTTTTGAAAACAAAATTCAACCCATTAATCATATACTCATTTAGCACTCTATATACAAATTACAGAGTTTCAATAATTTTCCGAAAACAACAAACCCAACAAACATGAAGAAATAAATAAAAAAACTAAGTTCCCAATAGTATAATCCATCAGAAACATACAAACTAGCACATGTTTAAGGACCACGAGAAAGAAGCAGGGTAGTTAAGCATATCAATATTTGCATAAGATGAACCAACATTTGAAAAGTATAAGTAGATGGACGAACACAGAGAGAAAACACCTAAATTTACAGCAAGATGAAAGCTTAATGGGAATTACACATCTCCATTGGACCAAAGGATCATAGACCCAACGCCAAACACCTCATCGTGGCCAAACCAAAGTAAACTTTCATTCAATTAAGTCTCAAACACTTTAATTAAGTTAAAAAAGAACAGTCCAATTCTACCCAAACTATATACACAAACCGAGAAAAGCAGAACAAACAGTGGTGCAAAGGTGTATAATGACACTAAATCTTCAAATGAAATTAAAAAAAAAATTACCCAAACCAATATAAAAGCCAAAGTCATCCCTAGCAACTGTAAAATAACAATTAAAAAACGAAACCCATATAAGTTCACAACAAATTAAAATGTCTAGATCAACATTAACATTAAATTAGCTACAAACCTAGATAAACCAATACTAAATTAGACTAAACTAATAACAAATAAGCTTCAAATCAAATTCCAAATCAAAAATTTGGATAAAACCAACAACAAAACCACACCTTTTCCTGTTCTGTCTCCCCCCTCTTGCTTTTCTCTTCTGCCTACTCCCCATATTAAGCCTTTTTTGCCTCATTTTTTTCTCTTTTGGCTGCTCACTTAACCCCCTTTTTTTTTCTCTTCACTTTCCTCAATTTCCAGTCTCCCCCTTTCTTCCACATCTATCTTTTTTTCCTCATTTTTTTCATCACTACTCTTGACACTAATTCTCCACTCTTTTCTATCTCTTAATTATTTCACTCAATCAAAAACATGGGATCACATTTTCTCAAGCAACCCAAAAGCACTGACCAACCCAAAATCAGAAAAACATCCAAACTAAAACTTACAATCACCATTGTCAAGCAGCAAACGATAAATTAGAAATATAAAACAAAGAAAAAAAAAAAAAAAAAAACAGAAACACGCTAAAACATGCCATCGGCGAACACCATACCTTGAAAAGAGTAGACGCACGCAGCTATTCGACAAAAAGGGGAGAAATCCAAATCTCAACCAATTGGCCCCTCGTCTGAAAATCGAGAGCACAAACAAAATCCCAAAATAAACCAAAAGCAGGGTTTCCTTGGTAGGTATTTTGCGAGAGGGAAAACGGAAGATTTGAGGGTGGGAGAAACGAAGAGAAAGATGGGTTCGTGGTGAGTGAAGGGGTAAAAGGAAATCCCTGGAAATCAGCCTACCCCATACTTCTCCCTTACTCTTTCTCCCTAAACCCATATCTCCCTGCCGAAAATCCTCTCCCCTACCCCCATACTCCCCCGTCTCCGCAACGGACAGAACTGCCCCTTCTCCAGTACGCGTCCAGCATGTTTGAAGCTTGTCGAACGTCACGACTTGGTTTGTAGGCTCCAAGGAGAGAGATACGGGGAGCGGAGAGAAAGGAAGAGCCGAGGAAGATGAAAGACTGGATTTTCCAGTAGAGAAGGAGAGAGAGGAAGAATGAGAGATGAGTACAAACTTGAACTCTAGAGCTTCGTTCACCAGAATCACTTCCCATTCCTAAAATTAGGCAAATTCCCAACAATAACAATAAAAAAACCTCTTAGATTTCACTTTCACTTAATCATAGGCATCCACTCATCCGTAACAAATGCAGAAATAAGCAAAAATCACCTAGAGACAACAGAGAGTCCACTGTTGCTGCCTCGGCAGCATCTTGAACAGGAAGAATACCAATTAACCCTTTCTCTCCCCCTGCTATAACTCATGCTCCACCAATCAAAGAAGGTGATCCACCGTGAAAAACATGGTTAACCACCATGTACGACATGAACCAAAGAAACCCACTACTGAAGCTATATATAAGAGCAAGTCCACCGTTGTGGACTGCTCGGAGGACAGTGGACCAAACAGGGCTCCATAGCCCGGCTGCAAGCTTCCAGCGTTGGGAGCCTGAGGGACTGGGCTGGCCCAAGCAACATGCCCGTAAGGAATCGCCAGCCCGCGAGCCCGAGGTGGACCTGACGCATGGCTGACGTCAGGCTGGCGTTAGTCCCTTTTTAAAAAAAATTTCTGTTAAGCGCGTGCGCCTCACCCGCGCGTGGGGGCACGTTAGCAGACAAGTTTCAGACCACAAGGGCCCACGGTGCGTTCGATCTAAATGGCTCTTTAACTTGGACTGTTCGATCTCACCGGTAATAAAAATTAAAAAAAGCGTATTTAATATCAACCGTTCGATCTGAGATCAACGGTCGATATTAAATAGGCTTTATAAATAAATAAATAAAAGAAAAAAGAGTTTTAAAATTAAGAAAAGTTACCATTGTGACACGTGGCACAATCTGGAGTGTTGGAATTCAAATTTTTTTATATCCAACAGCAGAGATTAATTAGTTGAACAAAAATTAATAAAAAAAATTGTAAAAAATCTGAAAAAAAATCTGAAATTTTTTTTAAAAAAATTGTTTTTACTTTTCTATAAATACCTTCTCTTATCATCTACATTACACTACAATTTCATATTTTCTCAACTACTTTGAATCACATTCCTTTTTTTCTCTCAAAGTTTCAATCCACTTTTTTTCAACAAAATGACTACTGATGCAGGTACGAATTGGTCGCTTCTTGAAGATGTTGCGTTGTGTAATAGCTGGGTTGAAGTTACTCATAGTTCGCTTACGGGTAATGAGATGCAGTTGCGAGAAATGTGGAGTCTTATTCATACCAATTATCTTGAGAAAATTGGTGGGAAAAGAACCAAAGAATCGATGTCCAGTCGTTGGAAATTACTTAGCCAATCGTTTAGTTCGTGGAGAGACGCCTTAGCACAAGCTAGTACTAATATTCGAAGTGGGGAAAATTACTCGGATCAGGTAACAATATATTATTTATTTGTTTGTACTATACCCAAGAGTTCCGTACCTCGTCGTTGCCTGCTTCTATCAATGTTTCCGGAACGGCTGGACCTGCAGATCTGAGCCATAGCTTGGATGACTCGACGGGAATGTGAGGCTCTGCCCATTCTTGCTTCGTCATCTCTCCTTCTACGCTCCTCATCCTCTTCCCTCTCATTTTTTGCCACCTGAAGATTGAACATTCCTTCTGATTGGTTAAACAATTCTTCCTCTTCCTGATCGAGTTCCCACATTATCCTTGAGGAAGAAGAGGACATTGTAAGAAAGAAGCAAAAACTATGAATAATGATAGAGATTTTTGTGAAGAATGAAGTAGAAACTATGAATAATGATAGAGATCTTGAGAAAATTGGTGTGAGATTTGTGAGGATGGATGGTGGATTATATGGAGCATTTAGAAAGGATTAGGTTGTAGATAATGCCATGTGGCATGCCGTCATTCGTTAAAAATCTGATGGAAATCTACCCTCAAAGATTGTAAACAGATTATGACACGTGGCGCGACGTGATTGGTTAATAATCTTATCAGAAATCCATCACCAATAATTGTATTTTCGGATAATGACATGTGGCATGCCATCATTCGTTAAAAATCTGATGGAAATCTATCCTCAAAGATTGTAAACAGATTATGACATGACATCCCACATCGCCCAGGGGAGTGATCCTTAAATGCATATTCCTATCCCTACCTAGCACGAGGCCTTTTGGGAGCTCATTGGCTTCGGGTTCCATGGGAACTCTGAAGTTAAGCGAGTAGCGCGCGAGAGCATTCCCAGGATGGGTGACCCATCGGGAAGTTCTCGTGTGAGTTCCCAGAAACAAAACCGTGAGGGTGTGGTCGGGGCCCAAAGCTGACAATATCGTGCTACGGTGGTGGAGCGGGCCCGGGAAGTGGTCCCCCCCAGGCTGGGATGTGACAATTTGGTATCAGAGCCTAACCCTGGTCGTGGTGTGCTGACGAGGACGTCGAGCCCCTAAGGGGGGTGGATTGTGACATCCCACATCGCCCAGGGGAGTGATCCTTAAATGTATATTCCTATCCCTACCTAGCACGAGGCCTTTTGGGAGCTCACCGGCTTCAGGTTCCATGGGAACTTTGAAGTTAAGCAAGTAGCGTGTGAGAGCATTCCCAGGATGGGTGACCCATCGGGAAGTTTTCGTGTGAGTTCCCAGAAACAAAACCGTGAGGGTGTGGTCGGGGCCCAAAGCGGACAATATCGTGCTACGGTGGTGGAGCGGGCCCGGGAAGTGGTCCCCCCCCGGGCCGGGATGTGACACACGTGGCGCGACGTGATTGGTTAATAATCTTATCAGAAATCCATCACTAATAATTGTATTTTCAGATAATCACACGTAGCGCAATGAGAACGATTAAAAATCTTATCCGAATTTACAAATAAAATTATTTTGTATTATTTAATAATACTTTGGATAATGACACGTGGCGCAATGAGAACGATTAAAAATCTTATCCGAAATTACAATTAAAATTATTTTGTATTATTTTATAAATAAAAAAAATACTAATATTTTATTGCTTATTGCCAGGGCTATTGAAGTGCAACGGCGGAGATGCAAAAGGCGATTACTGTTCATTAGGGCAGTTACTGTTCACCAGGTGGATAGCATAGTGTATTGCCTGGGGGGAGGTTTCACATGCTGGAGTTGCTCTAATCATTAAAAGAAAACCTTTTACGTCCAGCACAAAGCAAACTACAGTCGAAATTTCAACAAACCAAAATAATATGCAGATAAATAAATAAATAAAGGAAAAAAATGGTCGAAATTTCTTTGATGTCCAGCATTGGAACCATCCGAGATTGTGTAGCAACAATGCAGCAAACACCGTCAGAGAATGGGGATAAACATAATAGTTATACGCACATACCTACCAGAATAGTATAACGAAAACAACTAAACATGTAAATTCAAAGGTCACTCGGAACATGCTAAAAGTAAAAACTAAATTGCATAGCGATATATCTGGATTTACCTTTAAAGTGGCCTATGATATGTCATTAATAAAAGGCCCGAATTCCTTGTCCACTCCGCTAAATTGGTAGGAGCTTTTGCTTTACCAATCAGAACCTTAAAACATAACCTGTAAAAGTATGATAGCGATGAAGACCTGGTAAGTTTATTACATATTGTTTCAAATACAAATTGAGACTCGTGGGAAAAAAAGAAAAAGAATCAAATATCATATCATATTCCGACAACACTCTGAGAAGGTATGAAGTCATCTCATCTAATTTTATGAAAAATGGGTGAAACTCGTTAAAGAAACTCAACAATGGGTAGAACGTTTAAGTCTTATCTGATGAAAGAAGTGATGACGTTGTAGTTATTTCATCAGGAGGCGTTAAAACCATGAATCAAGAAGATTACAGACGAGGGATTTCAAATATTTTAATTATAAGAAGACTTGTTTGCAATACAGAGAAAAATCTTTTTATTGTTGATAAAAATGCACACAACACCATTGGAAGTTTAAGTTGTACACAAGAATTGATTCCCCTGAAACAATCATTAATTCAAAAGAACCAAAATTTTGTTATGTCAATGCAGATTAAATGGGAAGTAGCACACATTGCCAACAAACTCGTGTAACGGTTTATTGCAGAGAGAGAGATAGCTGATGGTAAATTAAAAAAAAAAAAAATTGGTTTTAGAGAAGCGACTTCTCAATTTCATATTCTTATCAGTTAATTTCATTAATCTCTTATAGTGAATTTACATAAAAAAAATAGATGACAAATAGATACATATAAATAGTTAAAATATCACTTCGCAGAATATAAACCCTATGAGAAGAAAATAAAAGGTAGAAAAGTCTCCCTTGAGTATGATCAACAAAACCACAACAAAGGTGGCTAATTATGGAAATATCATTCTGCATGATTCGAATTAATTTATCATAACCATGGTCTGTAACAGAGTGGAAATATCACGCCACATGATTCGAATTAATTTATCACTAATCTAAATTCTAAAAATGGTAAAAGTGAGAAAATATACCTATCAACCTGCTTGCTGTGCTTTGTGTAATCCAAGTTCCACTGTGTGACTCTGCACAGCTGCATAACCTCCGGTGGCGAACACTCTGAAAAGGTTTAAATTGGTAGCAGATTGCCAATTAGAATTGAAAGGCAAAAACATCATTCCACATATTTCCACTGTGCTACAAATTGGCTGCTAAATAGCAAAAAACATTCAAACTTGAGCTCCCAAGTAGTTTTTTTTGAAAATTTCAGGCATATAGTGAAGAATCAAGATCGGTCCCTCGTAACTCAATTGAACCAAAACACCTTAGTAACACAGAAGACAACTTCTTTTTACGATATTGCGTTTGATATTTCTTTTGCTATTTACGTACACCCAGCGATTGGGAAAATGATTAGTATATAGATGTTAAATAGTGGAAAATGAAAAGTGTTGGTAAACATTGAGTGGTATGGAACTTCGAGCAATAAAAAACTAAGGATTTGATGCGAATGTTTGTGAAATGAATAATTTGAGGTTAAGTTATACATAATGTATTGTTTTACTCGTAAAAATTATTCCAGAATTGCTTGGGGTTGCTTTGATATTCAGAGTGATAAGGCATAGTTGGAATTTGAGTCAAAAGCTGATATATTTTTCTCTTGAGCTTGTGTAGTAGAAGTGGTGTCATCAGTTAGATGTAAAACAGAGAACAATTAAAGGCATTAGTGAACACTGAATAATGTGAAGATCAAAGTTAAAGATATTAGATAGATGTGAAATAGACTTGCATTCATAAATAAGCAATAATGCCAACATGACACTACAATTTCAAAAACACACATCTTGTCAAAATCAAACTTTCATGTGAGAGACAATTTTAAATTGGGTAACATTTAGTGAGAATGTAAGGAAATCAAAGTACATAACTCATCTCTCTCTGCATAAACATTTAAATAACCAAATGCCAGTTATTGGAAAGCTGAATTACCTGGCCAAATTCTTCTTTTTATTCAAACAGCCATCTCCACTTGCTCTAAATAAAAAGGAGGGATTGTATGAACCACAACAATTGCCATCTCCACTTGCCCTGCATACAAAAGAGTAATAGTATACAGAGACGCTTTCATTTATGCCTACCTATAAAGAGTAATAGTGTACAGAAACGCTCTTATTTTTTGGAATTCACCAAATGGAAAATACATGTATATACATTATAAAACTTGGTGACTCGAATGCATGAAAAGTACTAATCTCTGTTTCTTTTTTTTTTTTTTTTTTTTTTTTTTTTCTTTGGCCTTTTCGCAACTTGCCCCTTTTTTCCGTCTTTATGCATTAAGGAAAGCAACACATCAACGAGTTTTCGAGGTCTTCCTATTCATTTGGACAGTACTATTCTCCGTCTTTATCAAGCAAACACTATAAACCTGCAATTAACAAAACAAATAGTGTTAATTCAAAAATTAAGACATGCAAAAATTTAAAAAAAAAAAAAAAAAACCCAAACATGCAGGAACAAAAATTAAATAAAATCAAACATCACATCAATCCAAAACCCAAAATTTTTTTCGTTTCTTTTCCTCCAATCAGACCCTGCAAATCCAAATGGATATGGCCCCAGAAGAGCTCCAATTTGTCAACATCCCAGTCATACTCAGAGAACCCACCACCATCCCCAAACAGTCTTCTACCTCATAACCCTATTACACACTTTTCAGCCCATGATAACAAAAAAATCATCGATCAAATGAGAATTTACACAAACACTAGAAAACCTACGAAAAAATAACTAAAACCCAATTATATTAAATAAAAAATTTGAAGCAGATCTTACATGAAATAGAAGGCACCTGACATGCTGAGGAATAGTTTAAGACCAACATCAACGCCAACCTGACCGGAATTGTTGGAAAACTCTGAGGAGATTTCGAAATTGTTATGTTGGTTTTAGGGTTAGATTAAGACTTACAAGTGAGAGAACTTGTAGAATTTGATTTATTGATTTGAGGGCTTGAGGTTGTTTTCTTATTTAATGCAAAGAAAACTTGAATCAAATGCCAAACAAAAACCCCAAATTCTTACCTGATGACAAATCAGACGGAGAGCTTTGGGGAATAAGGATCGGAGAGGATTTGGAGGTGGAATCTGCTGACGCTGGGGTGAGTGAAGATGATGTTGCAGTCCAGGTGTCGGTCGACTTTGAAGACACCACTCAAATTCTGCCCATCTCAACAGAATCCAACAGTTGAGGATTTCTGCAATTTGTTGGTTTCAAGGTTAGATTAATTGTGAGAGAAACTGTAGAAATGAATATGTTGGTTTGAGGGTTCGAGTTTTCTTGTGATGATTGTAAGCAACAGAAGAGATGAAGTGGTGAGCAACATAAGCGGTGAGAGTGCAACCAGGAAGAGAGTAAACAGCAGGCAAAAAAGGAAGGCAACACTGAATTCTTCTTGACTACCTATTTAGTGAGTTCTTGGATCTATTTAGAGAGTTACTGGAATGAAATGAAGCCAACTCTGCAACAGAGAAACAAACGAAAAAGTCAAAATCCAGAAATCCAAGTTTAACTCAATCAAATATAATAACCAATCAAAGTTGCAACCTGCAAATTCTCACAATGTAAACTTGTTTCTCAAGGACAGTTGGTCTCTCTCTCTCTCTCTCAATACAACATTTCAAACCAGACAATAATTAATAAAATAGAAAATTGAAGTACCTGGTAAGTTTTTCTTTTTATACACACAGTCATCTCCACTTGCTCTAAGGAGGAATTGTGTGAACCACCCTTCATTCAAAACATCACAACATCTGCACTTATATAAAGGAAAAAAAAGAAATGGACTAAAATAAAATTATCCTATAATCCGATTATACAGAAGGCCAAACTCTTGAGTTGGGGCTGGTGGCCGTCGACCACATCATCATCTCGATTTGAGAGAAAAGGGTTTGTTTGGCTCTTTTGTCCAATTATTTACATTAACCATTTCCAAATTAACAAGGAAACACCATGATCAATACCTATGTTGCTCCCTTCTTGTGATCCAAATTTAAAGAAGGCCGATGGGGAGGGGCAATTATAAGTGTTATCCTCTTTGTTTCTCCTATCCCTACATTGTCGACCAAAACAACATCAAACCAAGTGCAATACAATCCAATGTAATACTCACAAAATTTGCGCTCCAAACAAAGTCACAGGTCAGCAATCACCTAATCGATCATAACACCATTGCAAATATGAAAAACATAAACAATTAAGTCAGCAACATGATATGCCATCCCTTTCATATGAACACGGATTGCTATTCAAATATGCCACATTATTTACAAACAATTACAAGTCGAGAACAATTAAATCATCATCATGAATCGCAGTGTAACATGAACACCATCAATTAGAAAAGACAGAGCTATATGGCAATAAACATGGAGAGAGTAAACATATAGAGAGGAACTGCTTCAGATCCTTCCCAAAAGCAATCTTCCGCATGATAACAAAAGAGCAGTTGATCTCTGATCTAATTGCAGACACAATCTGCAGAACCGACTTCTATGGAATTTGAACTTGTGAAATGTGGGGTGGAGACCTGAATGTAACAAATTGGTGTTAAGTGAATAATTCCAAACATATAAAATTTAGATCATCACTCCCGAACACAAACAGAACAATTAAATAAAGAATCGAAGCCATATGCAATCTAATTAGACAAATAAGTGAACATTACCATGCCGAAATCCGAAAGGCCAACAGAAATCTCTCAGTACAGCACAGAAGACAAAACTTAAAACTAATCAAAATTAGGTGAACCAATTATAGAGAACATAACCCTTGTAAACAATCGGGAAAAGATGCTTTTAAATCCCAGAAAAAAAATTGAGAGGTGTTTTTATACAAAACCATCATTTCAATTATTTTCCAATCTCACAGTTGGGATTAAACAGAAAATATAACTAAAAATGCCAACTTTCTCAAAAAACTACGACTATTTTTACAAATTTCCATTACCCAACACTGAAAAATCAGAATCACGAAGCAACGAAGAGCGGAACACACGAGAACCAAAACGTTAAAAACAACATGTACCCATTTCAAAGACCAAAAATCCTGCAAGGACAAAAAAATCCCAGAAAATCAGTACATCAACACTACCTGCAAAACGCCAAAATCAGAAAATTATTAAAAGAACCCAAAATCAGTGGCATGGTACTCATTTCTCCATCATTCAGTAGCTAATGACCTAATGAAAAAGAACCCAAAACAGACAGCTTAAATTATGGAAAATGCTTATAAATCTCATGAATAACTTTCAGAGCCTGCATAGAAATGGTATAGCGCAGATAACAACAGACAATAAAACTATGCACAATATAACCTAAATCCAATATGTTGCATTCCACACACACACACAGATATGTCTACATATATATATAGATGACCCACAGAGATTAACATCATGCAGAGGTGTGCACGCGCACACACATAAAATATACATGCATACTTAATTTTTCAGACAATAATACCACACAGCATAAGTTGCAAGCTGGGACTATATGGTTGACTCAAAAGAAATTTATGGGTTAGAAAAAGCCCAAAAAAATAGAAAGACGAATGTTCGTTCACATCTCACGTCAACAGGAGGATGAATGCCCCTGCAAAAGACAACAAAGCAATCCACAATCATCCAACAAATAAGCAAAATTTCTTGCCAGTCAGTAATTATGGTCATATCTACTGCAGCGCTAAAAAGTAGATTTTTTCATGGCCCTGATGCTGAACAGTGAAATGAAGGGTGGACACCTATTTTTTGCATCTTTAGACTCAAGGGCAAGAGAAACCTACCAGTCCTCAAACAAATTAGGACACACTTGCGGATCGGCCAATGATTCTGCAGCTTTTTTATTGACCTGCCATATTGCAAATTAAAAGTACAAAATTAAAAATACTTGGAATAGCCAAATATATGCAAAAATCTTTCGTTGTTTCAATTCAATTGGTCGATAAAGTAGAAGACATAACAATTTTCCTTTGGTATGACTTCTACATCTCATATATACATTTCACTTGAAAGAAAAGCATCGTGTTCATGAATCAAGAAAAACACTGCAAAAGTCTAACCTTGTTCAGGTCATTTCTCCAAATTGAAACTATCTCTGAAACCTTGCTTGGTAGGTAAGATCGTGCCATCAAAGCTACTTTAGGTATCCGTCCACTGCAATGAAAGATAACGAAACCCTATAAAGCAGACCACAAAAATTAGACAAAACTAAAAACTAAACAGTTAAAAAAAAAAAAATTAAATCAAAAGGGCTTGAAAAATTTTAGTTTTAATCAAAAATCATGTTATAAGTTTTGTTTAATGAGTAGTACAAGGCCTATATTATAGTAGTCCAACTTAAAATGGCCTACCTATAATAAATTATGATTTGTTGATTTTACCCCTAACTTTTTTAGGTTGAGTTCCATATTTTCTTCATTAATGGAGTTCATCGTTGTTTTGCAGACCTTTTTCTTTTTCTTTGAAACAAAAATATGGATCCTCATGCTATCTAATTTATATTTTCTATTATTTCGTTGAAATGTGATCGTTGCTATTATTCATAGTGTATTCGAGGTACTGTTTTTCATATTTTCTTTGTTAGTGGAGTTCATTGTTTGTTTCTTCAGAAAATAAATTTGAGATTTACATGCTATTCAATAATAACGACGGGTCATTGATTCTGGACTGTAAAAATAAACTGTTTCTGGAATCTAAGTTACTGTTTATGGAATCTAGGTCATTGTTTCTGGATCCAAGTGAAATACACATTGTTTCTTAAATGTAAGCTAGAAAAGAAATAATGAAATTCACCGTATTTGGATTCAAAGCAAAATAAGCATCATGTTTCTTAAATATAATTAACTGATGCATGAAAGAAAAGAAACAGTCAAAGGTTAAAATATAGACTGTTTCTGGAATATAAGTCATTGTTTCTAAAATTTAAGTCACTGTTTCTGAAATTTAAGTCACTGTTTCTGAATTTTGGTTCTTTTCTTTCCAAATATAGTGTTTGTTTATGCACAGACAAAACAAACATTGTATCTGATTTTTTTTTTCTTCCAGAAACAATGTTATGTTTTGGGTTCTCCAGAAACAGTTTTATGTTTTGGTTTTTTTTTTTTTTTTTTTTTTTCCCAGACACTTTTTTCGCCGGTTTCTGCCATTAAACTTCTTTGAACTTGTTTCGCACTAATACAAAAAACACTTTGCGCGATATAGGTCCTTCGTCACGCAAAGTCAAAAAGCGTCGCGCAAAATTTTGCACAACGGACCTTGGTCGTGTGCTAACCGTCGCGCCAAGGCATTGACAAAAGGGTTTGCACAACGAAGAAGATACCTATGTCGCGCAAAGACCTTTTGCGTGACGTAGGCTGAGTCGCACAAAGTTTGCACAACGCAACCTACGTCGTGCAAAATGGATTAGATCACTTTTTGGTTTTGGTCAAAAATATTTTTTTTAATTTTTAATAATATTGTAATTAAATTCTAAACAATCATTAATTAACCAAAGAAAAGTATTTAATTATAAAATATATGAAAATGTACATACAAGATGTCCGAACAAAAAAGAAAAAATTACAAGTAGTCTTCTAGGTGAAGTGGCTCGGAGGTCGAAGGTGGAGCAAGATCAGGTACTGGTAGCGAGATTTGGATGCCAATCATCTATATGGCTCGTACAAGGTCTCTCAAGTGCCCAACACAGGCCTTCAGCTCCTCGCCCTGGGCCCTTATTTGCTGGCCTTGGACCGCAAGCTGACCCTTTAGGGTTATCACTTCCTCCTTTAACGCATCGACCTTTGCGGTGTTTGACCTAAAGCAGTAGATGCTAATAATGCGGGAAGCTCATTGGTCACACTCCGACGACGAGTGATCAACTGTGACATCTATACACATTTTGAACCATAAAATTATAACATTAGAAACTAATCATTTCTTGCATTTGAAACTAATCAATTAGCAACCAAAGTAATAAGTAGGTTACCAACATCCTTAATTTCAAAACAAGAGGAACTACCTATCCATTTTCATAGCCAACAAAAAAAAAGTGCATCAAGTGAAACAAAAAAGAATGGGTAATCCAACACTATTTTATAAACAGTAAGCTCTATTTTATTTAAAAAACCTATAGGGCGTGTTCGCTTGGGTTGGATTTAGTTCAAGCCCTCATTTTAACAAGGTCAAAATAAGGAGACTAGGTGAGGCATGAGTCCCACTTAGTGAGATTGCTAAATAGCACCCTGTTTGATACAACTTAGACTAACTTATAAGAGCTCAATTCGGCAAACTAATGCGGTGTAGCAAACATAGCCATAAAGTCCAAGCGAAGCAAATAGCTAGAAATCCTACCCCCTTTATTTTTCTGATGTGACAAAATAATGAACAAAATAAGCCACCAAGGAATGCACTATTACGGACAAAATAATCGTCCAAGAGTTTTGTACCTTGTTGTTGCCTGCTTCTATCAAGGTTTCCGAAACAGCTGGGCCTCCAGATCTGACCCACAGCTTGGATGACTCAACGAGAATGTGAGGCTCTTGCCATTCTTGCTTCGTCATCTCTCCTTCTACGCTCCTCATACTCTTCCTTCTCATTTTGGGCCACCTGGAGATTGAACATTCCTTCTGATTGGTTAAACAATCATTCCTCTTGCTCATCGAGTTCCCACATCATCCTTGAGGAAGAAGAAGACATTGTAAGAAACAAGTAGAAACTATGAATAATGATAGAGATTTTGGTGAACAAGGAAGCATAAACTATGAATAATGATAAAGATCTTGAGAAAATTGGTGTGAGATTTGTGAGGATGGATGGTGGATTATATGGAGGATTCATAAAGGATTTGGTTGTAGATAATGCCACGTGGCATGCCATCATTCGTTAAAAATCTGATGGAAATCTATCCTCAAGATTGTAAACAAATTATGACAAGAGGCGAGACATGATTGGTTAATAATCTTGTCGGAAATCCATCACCAATAATTGTATTTTCGGATCATGACACGTGGCGCAACGAGTACGATTAAAAATCTTATCGGAAATCCATCACCAATGATTGTCTTTTCGGATTTTATGACAAGTGATGCAACAAGAACAATTAAAAATCTTATCCGAAATTACACCACAATTATTTTGTATTATTTTATAACTTTTCGGATAATGACACGTGGCGCAACGAGAACGATTAAAAATCTTATCCGAAATTACAAATAAAATTATTTTGTATTATTTTATAAATAAATAAAATACTAATATTTTATTGCCTATTGTCAGGGCTATTGAAGTGCAACAGTGGAGATGCAAAAGGCGATCACTGTTCATTAAAGGCAATTACTGTTCACTGGGTGGATAGCATAGTGTATTGCCTGGGGGGAAGGTTCCCACGCTGAAACTGCTCTAACTATTAAATAAACTTATCACTTGGTTTTTTGTTAACATTCAAAGTTTTAAAGTCATTTTCATTAGTTTTTCTTATAAATGATCGGAGATCTATAGACCTTCCCCTCTCCATCTGAAGTGAAACAGACCAAATAAACGACAAGACTTGACGTCAGCGTTAAAATTGGAAGCTTAATAAATTATATTCCTTGGGCTAGTCCTGATTTGATGTTGGGCTTTGTCATAACTATTAAATAAACTTATCACTTGGTTTTTCGTTAACATTCAAAGTTTTAAAGCCATTTTCATTGGTTTTTCTTATAAATAAGGCTTTTTAGCCATTAGGGTTACAAATGCATTATTTTGGAGAATTTTAGACTTTTTACCTACAAGGTGTTTTCTATTTGTGTTCTTAATAATATTTTGTTTTATGATTGTTCGTAACTAATTTCTTTTGCTAGGGCGATGTCTTGAGTCTTAGCATGAATATGTAGTCTTTATTTAATTGTTTATGATATTATGCATGCGTGTTTTGAATTATTAATCACCGTGTTTAAACTATCTTTGTGTCTTAAAGATTCGCGGCCATTAGGATGTTTAAATAAGTAATTGGATGCAATTTCTATTGGAATGTCACTTGAAATTAAGGAATGCTTCTTGTCGTTAATAATTGTAATTTCACGTAGGATGAATACGACGTCTTAAGTGTTACATGGTTTTTTGAAGGGTTTTTATAAAGCTTAGGCTAAATAGCCAAAATGGTCCCTAAGATTTGTATAACACAACACTTTGGTCCCTAAGATTTCAAATCAATAGAAGTGGTCCCTGAGATTGTCCACCATCCATCATTTTGGTCCTTCTATTCAGAACTCCGTTAAGTGTCTCGGAGCTCTTGGCTGGAAGTTTGGGCAATTTTCAAAGGTTCGTAACTCAACCATTTCTTAACCAAATTCAACCCATAATATATCAAAATGAAGATAGGAAAGTGTAGAATAATATTATACCATTTGGAAGCCCAATGGTTTCTGGATATGGCCGAAAAATAGCCTCAAAGTTGACTAGTCCGAGGGAAAACTGGAAAACTCACCGGAAACTGAGTAAACTTTAAGCATTCATAACTTCTTCAATACTCAACAAAATCAAGTGATTCAAAAACAAAAATCATACTTCTTGACGAGATGAAGAGAATGGTACCTTTTTTGACGGCTAAATCACCTTGGTTTGGCTGGAAATGGCTCGAAATTGGCTATCTTGGTCTTAAGTTACCCACTTTCGAGCCGTTTTTCGGAAAAAACTACGGTGCATTAGCTATCAAAAAAGGTACCATTCTCTTTGTCTCATTGATAAGTATGATTTTCATTTTTGAATGACTTGATTTCGTTGAGTATTGAAGAAGTTATGAACGTTTAAAGTTTACCCAATTTCCAGCGAGTTTTCCAATTTTCCCTAGGACCAGGAAACTTTAAGGCTATTTTCCGGCCATCTACGGAAATCATTGGGCTTCCAAATAGGTATAATCTTATTCTACACTTTCCTATCTTCATTTTGATATATAATGGGTCAAATTTGGTTAAGAAACGATTGAGTTACGAAGCTTTGAAAATTGCCCAAATTTCCAGCCAAGAGCTCTGGAACACTTAACGAAGTTTTTAATGGAAGAACCAAAATGATGGATGATGGACAATCTCAGGGACCACTTCTATTGATTTGAAATCTCAAGGAACAAAGTGAGGAGTTATGCAAATCTTAGGGACCATTTTGGCTATTTAGCCTAAAGCTTAATGAGTCTTTCATGTTCATAATTGATCCGAACGTCTGGACGGGTTGCATGTTAGATATACGTTCTATGTTGGAGGTTCCAAGTACGACATATATTAGGAAAACTTGACCTTTGAAATATGCATGGGTAATTCGTAAGTAAATGGAAGAACTACGTAAGATTGTTAAGGTAATGGCGGAACACCTTTT